TTTTATTGGTACGTTGTGATGTTAAGTTGAAGGGAATCTCGATATACCTTTCTATCTTGTTTGATTGTTTGAGGTATCAAATTTAAGATGTATCTATAATGTCCCATGTTTAAGATTCGAGTCAGAATTTGAAATTTGGATATGGCACCAAACGGTTGTAGTATTACCTACCTTATTTGAAGTGTTTCTGTGAGTGAAAACTATCCTCACGCGCTTAATTTTAAAGTTTTTATGTTTAAGTTATCGAAAATGAAGATGCATCTTATTGATATAGGTAGTTACTATCAATCCTTTTGTAATGACCCATGTCTACGATTCGGAATTTGAATTCGGCGCGTCTAATAGCCCCGACATTCTCTTGCGACATAGTCACGTTATCTACTTCTCAATTCTTAAAAGTGAAGACTATCCCCACAGACCAACACGAGACCTTCCAGCATCCTTTGTTCTCACTCACATGCATCCCAAGAAAATTCGTAGGAGGTTACCTAACATAGAATTGCTCCAAGTATGCTTAACCATAGGGTTCCTATGATGAGCCACTGAGAGGGGAGGTATACTTTGTTGGTGCACGTACTGACTTTTAATTCTTTTAAGCCTTTTTAGCTATCTTATCCTCATGATCACTCTCCCTTTCATTGGGATATGGTCTCAGTTCATTCATGTGACGCCCGAGCTATCCTATCCTTAGGATCTCTCTCCCTCTTATTGAGGTGTGGTCTCGGTTCATTCATGTACCATTTTCTTTACTGGAATGTCACACCTTTGTCTTTCTTAACTATAATTTCATATTCTCAATATTACTTTCATTAAATCGCTTAATTGGTTCACTATTTGAGCTATTTTCTTTCGTAAAACGTTTAATTTTAGAGTTACAAAATATTTTTTAAATTACTAAATAAAAAATTTTGATTTTAAAAGATGAATATAGTATTTTTAATTTAACAATATTATTTATAATTATTTTAAGAGATAAAATATATATATATATATATATAAACATAATCATTACACCACGGTAAAATTTGTAGCTTCACCTTGGAAAAGTTTAACATTATTTCTTTTATTCACATGGTGATGGAAAGTTTTTACCATCCCTTTAGAAAAAGCTCCTTTAAAAATCTCATCCTAAAATAATTAAAGATAAAATTATAATGTTTACAAAAATTAATAAAATTTCTGGTTATATGGCTCGAGAATTTGACTAATTCAAATGGTCTAATTTATATCATAAATGGTATGTTGGGTTACATATTTTTTCGATTTGGGTTGGGTTGAATTTTTTAAAGATCGAAAATTTAGGTCAGTTCACAAGTTGACATTATTTTGGTCAGGTCAACTTTACCAACCGAAAAATAGGGTTACAGCCAATCTTGCCATACTTTACTTTTTTAATAATTAAAAAAAATACTCGACAATCCAACCTAATTCAAAAATTGGGTTGAGTTTGATTGAGTTGTGAACTCTATTCAGGTTGATCGGGTCACCCATTTAACCAACCCAAAATTTTGAGTTGGTCCAAAATGTTTGTTTGATCGAACTCGTGTAAGCTCCTATTATTTATTATCATTATTTAGCAATATCTTAATTAATTGTTAATAAGTTAAAACAATTTAAAATTATTTGTCTTTGAAAGCGAAAAGGCTGATTTGGACTACAATTTTCATTACCTCCACTAATTTTCTAAAAGATTTGAGATAAGTTTGAAAACGTTAAATTTTGCAAAAAGTGGCAGATTCCACGTGGATAAACTATGAACATGCCACGTGGAATACTTAATTTTTTTATTAGAGGGAACAAACAAATTATATCGCCAACTGGCAAATGATGCACAATCCAATGGCCACTTGAGTGAAAACACTATGATTTATTGTGTGTCAGAGCTGACAAGGAAAGTGATGACGTGGTATATATTATCTTTCTCTCTCTGCCACGTGGCTTCAACTTCACGGCCCTAAATAAATAAATAAATAAAAATAAACCATTTTGCCTTTTGCTTGAATGGGAAGGGATCCTCTGTGGCCTACCCTACACTGAACCCTCATGTGGTTTGTTTTTCTTTTTTTCTTTTTTTGTGAAGTTAATTCCAAAATTAGTTTATATTTGTTAGTGAGAATTTGGAAATTAAAACCTTTTTTTTTTTTTTTTGTCTTTTGTTATTATTATGATTATTATACTATTTATTTAATAATATTGTACAAAATTAATTTTCGATAATGGTTTTTTATTTTTTTAAAATACCACATAAATCCTAGCCAAATTTAAAAAGAAAAAAATAATAATAAAATAATTTATATTATTATATCCTTGTTTTTTAATTTGAAAATGGCCATCTCGAGAAATTAAATTGTAAAAAAGAAATTAAATTGGATTTTTTAATCGGCCCTATGCTTAGTAAATAAGGAAATGATTAAACGACAAAGATTTTAGTTTAATAAATAACATCATAGTACACAACAGCCGTAGAATATTAATTAAATACGATAATATAATATTATATAATATTATATTATATGATTTAATTAGTATTAAATAATTAAATGATTGATCGAATTAAATAATTGTTCTACCACCGCCTAAGAAATATCTTGCCAGCTCTTCGACTTTTGTGCCACGTTTTGTTTCTTTCCACTCTTTTCTAAAAATTAACCCTTTTTTTCTTAAATGATGAACTTGATAGGTCAACCTCCCCTTTGGAATTTGGTTCGGGTCACGGGTAAACCATGACTATCTTTAATGGCATGAACCCTTTTACGTAATCAAAACTAAAATCATTAATTTCATCGAACGAGAGTATCCCTTGCAGATATACTATGTTTTGAATGTAGGACGAGATCTATTACTCTATCAAAGTTCTTAAAGACTTTTTGTTTCGGCTTTTCTGCTTATTGTTTTGAACCCTTTTATGGAATCAAAACTCAAAGCTATTTCCTTCGTTGTTTGGGAGTGGCAGGACAAGACCTATTGCTATACAAAAGTTATTTGAAGATTATTGGTTCAGCTTTCCCGCTTATTATTGTTGTCACCTCAATAGCTTTCTCGCTTATTGTTTCGAACCCTTTTATGGAATCAAATATAAAATCATTAGCTTCATTGACCGAGAGCATTCATTGCAGACAATGTTTTGAATGTTAAACAAGAATTATTATTATACAAAAAAAAAAAAAAATTAAGACTTCTTTTTTTAGCTTTTCTGTTTCTTAATGTGGGATGTAAGTCCCACCTCGACTAATTTAAGTAATAATGATGAGTTTATAATCAATTAATACTCTCTTCTATTAATGTGAGGCATTATGGTTAGAGTGGAGAATATCATATCGTTCTATAGACCTAAAATTGTAATTTAGAGAGGTTTTTTTATTTATTTTTATTTTATTACTTTAAATTAGATGACGTCAGATTTGAACCGCCATAGTTGACGATACTTTCGAAACGGAAAAAGAAATTAAGGCGTTGGAAGTTCGAGGTTTCGAAAAACAACCCCCAACTTCCGTGTAAAGCGTTGGATATTTATTTTCAATATATTATTATTATTAAATATATTCTTAAAATTAAAAAAAAAAATCTAAAAAACATTCTTAAACCTTAAAAATAAATTAATTAGTTTTGGATAAAAAATTTTAATTTTTATTTCAAAAATATTATTTATCTTTAAAAAAAAATAAAAAAAAATAGTTTTCGTCCATATTAATAATGGGATTTTTTTTAATATAATTGTAAAGTTCATGTATAATTTTAAATGTGTAGTAGACATAGTGATAAAAAGTATTTTACATTTTTTTAATAATTAGAATTAATTCCATTCAAAAGATTCATGATTAGTGCAATGGTCAATTAATGAAAAGGTTATTGATACTTGATTAATAATCAGATTATTATTAAATTAAAAAAAAAAAAACTAAAGTAGCTAAACACATCAATGTGTGAGTTGTAACACAAAAGCAAATAATAACTTTTTAAGATCTGTTTTTAGAATATTATTTAAATATTAAAGTGGGAATTTAAATAACTAAACTATAGTTAGATACGAACATGTTATATTGAGTTGTCAGATTATTTTTTTAAAATTATTTTTAAAAAATCACTTATCTACCATACACGTTATATTTAAACATCAAACATTTATAAATGACAGCAAATATAAAAGTAATTTTTATTAAATAAACTAATTATCGAAAAAATAATAATTAAAATAAAAATAATTTTTAAATTTTTTTCCAAAGAGAAATAAAGGATTATCTTATAAAATATATTTATCTCCAAACAGTTATAAAAGACACTTCAAAGTGGCCCTTGACTCTTCGATTTATGTGCCGCATCTAATTCTTTTATAAAACATTTTCCAATCATTTAATATTTACTCGTGTTGTTATAACTAAAGATATAACGGTGAATATTAATATTTACTCAACTCAGCGTAATTCATGGGTCCGTCTGGAATCTAATTTAATTATTGATTATAATAATTATTAATATTCTCCTTTTTCGGCTTTTCCTTTTAGCTTCTTAAAATTTAGGTTTTCATATTCTTAAAATTGGTGTTTCATTGTGCTCTCCAACGAACGTGGGATATGACACATTTCAAAGTTAGTTGCAAAGTTAGTTATCTCCTACTTAATTAAGCAAAGGAACTGCTGGAAATAGCGCTGGACCTAACCTATCGTCTTTTTTCCAAACCTGTCACTGGACCTATAAGATAAGAGAAAGTCGCGCAACCAAAGTTCTCCCTACTGAATCCACGCATTCTTCGACCCGACACAAGAAGCTGAAGTAGCTCGAGATTGCAAGCAGGTAAGATTTTTCCCGGCAATATCATACACTTGGTATCAATCATCTAGGGACAAAACTCTTATCTTTCTAGAAAAATGGAAGGGTATCAACGATCAGAAGTGGTTTAAGGCCCCCAACTAATAAAGGAAACGCAAATTTCCACGTGTCGTGATCTGGTGCGTCTGGCAGAGGAACTTGCTCGACCTCCCACCCTATAAATACCGACTTCTTCTTCCTCCTCAACTCACTCGATCGTGTTTTCTGTGTGAGAACAACTTCATTTACAAGAGCGCGTTACGTGTTTCTTGTTCGTTTGTTTTGGATTTTTTTTTTCCATTTTCCATTGTTTCTTCTTCCTCTCTTACAAGCATTCCTTTCAGAGGAACGCTCTTTTCTCGTTCTTGTTCTTGTTCTGTTTCCGGCGAGGAGACTTGACGCAGCTTCCTAAGGGCTAATCGGTGAGTTATTGAGTTCTTCTGCTCGAGGTTTGTTTTTGTTTCTTTTTCGAGTTTGTGCGTCTCTGTGGCGTTGATTGGGGACAATACTCGGAACTTAGTTCGCGGTTTTGTGAAGAATTTCGTAGTTTACACTCTGTTGAGGTTTTGAGGGATTTGATAATTTCTGGACGTGGTTTTTTTGGAGATTTTGTTTCTGTGAAGTAACGGTTCTGTTCTGAGTTCATGTACATCCGAATCGATCTTCAGGCGGCCGGAGTTATGAGTTTGAACTCTACGCGATGATTCTGTTGTTGGATCTTGTCTCAGATCTTACCTCTCTTTGTGACTCTTGAGCGTTTTCCCCTAATTCCTTGCGGTCGCGACGAGTTTTGGACTTTAATCTGATTATTCATGGACTGAACCGAACAAGTTAGAATTGAACAGGAAGGAATTTGAGGTTTTAATGGCGGTGATATTAATTTCAAATCTAGCATAAAAATAATTCAAAAGAACAATTCAATTATAATTTGGTCTGAAATCGATGAGTTGGAGAGATTCAATCTCCTATGAGGTTCAATCTTCTTTGATTCTCTTTCGCGTCACTTCCTGCCAAAGGTGAATTTTATTGTTTTTCTCCACAATCAATTGCTTGTTTGAACGAATATCTCGTTTTTTCTTTTCTTCCCGCCCGGGGAACTTGAGAAAGCAAGCCTTTAGTTGGTTTCCCTTTACACGGCGGTGAAGAGAAAACATGAAAACCGTGTCTTATTTGTCGTCCGTTTTTCTTCTTCTTCTTTTTGACATTTTTCCTCTCATGGATTCCTTTCATTTATATTCTTTTTGCCTCCTTAGACCATCTTATTTCAAATATAATATACCCTTATATTCTTTAATCTTTCAACTAATTAAGGATTGTTTATCCTCCGCCGTTGATATAACCAAGTGGGGATCCAGCTTGATTCGACAGAAGAGAGAAGATGCTAAATTAAACCCAAAACCCTCGTTCAGTCTTAAACTGAATCCGATGTCTTTGTTTCCTGCAATCTGTAATCTTCTTAATTTCCCTCGCCTCCGGCCAGGTCCTGGTCTCGGAGATGCTAAGGGCAGCTTCGTTATTGCAATTCAGGTGGATTTCTGCTCCCCCATGGGAGTCATATGCTTCTCTTCGTCCAACAATCATAGGATTTCGCCGTAATCGTAGAAAATTAGGGTTTCTTCTAAATTTCAAACCCTTAGGTTGGTGTTAGCGATGCCCAAGGAAGAGTGCATCGTGTTCTTCTCTTCCGATTTTGTTTCTGATAGTTCTTAATTTATTTTGGGTATTTTTGTGTTTCTAGGTCGCTGATTTCAACTTGGTTCTATGTTATTTTTATGATTTCTGATTGGCTGGTGATGGTCTTTCTATTGTAATCTCGTGCAGAATCTGTTCGGTGCTCAACAATGACGATCACCCCGAAGATTTCCGTTAACGATGGCAACTTGGTGGTTCACGGAAAGACCATACTCACTGGAGTGCCTGACAACATTGTGCTGACCCCAGGATCAGGCCCTGGACTTGTTGCTGGTGCATTCATTGGTGCCACTGCCTCACACAGTAAAAGTCTGCACGTTTTCCCCATCGGTGTCTTAGAGTACGTACACAAACCCCTTAATGGTTCTTCCAAGTTTACAGAGAACTTAAACTAAACAATCAATGGCTATAATTTCAGTTTACTGTACTATATAGAAGCTAGTGAATGTTTAGTGATTGAATTCTCTTTGATTCCTTAGCTGGGTAGATTTTAGCTAATCTGATTTGAGTATTGGATTTGGAAGAACAAGAAAATAGTAATGGTACGAAATATGAATCGTTCTGATTTATTTCAACCTCATAACAGGGGTCAGCGCTTCCTGTGTTGTTTCCGTTTCAAGTTATGGTGGATGACTCAGAGAATGGGAACGTCTGGGAAAGACATCCCTTTTGAGACCCAGTTCCTGCTCATGGAGAGCAAGGGTGCTGATGGGGAGGATCCTGATAATTCTTCAACCATCTACACTGTCTTCCTTCCTCTCCTTGAAGGCCAGTTCCGTGCTGCGCTGCAGGGCAATGACAAGAACGAGATGGAGATTTGCCTCGAGAGTGGTGAGTAGATCATGATCACCAGACAATTAATCTGCTGTAGGAGACACACACACCCTGCTGTCCTATTTATTTAGTTCCAGCCTGGTGGTCGGTAGTGAAGAAGATATAACTTTCTGTTGGGTGGAGCTGTGATTAATGAGAGCCAACCTTGCTGGAGAAATCATTTAATTATCATCACTGAATGAATCGAATTAATGGAGTTTTATAGCTCTTGGAGGAGAATATAGGAAGGATCAAGTTCCAAAGAAACGAAACGACTTGTTTTTGTTGGTGTTTGAATTGGTTTTGCAGGAGATAATACTGTTGAGACCAACCAAGGACTCTCTCTGGTCTATATGCATGCTGGGACAAATCCCTTTGAAGTTATCAATCAAGCAGTGAAGTAAGTTTCCAAATGAAGTTTCACGGTTTTTGCCTTTTTTTCATACACATATAATGCTAACCAAACTTCATAATGATTACAGGGCTGTTGAAAATCATATGCAAACATTTCTACACAGAGAGAAGAAGAAGGTCGAGAAATCTTCGTTTTGGCATATATAATTTTAACCAAGCTATCCTGTTTTAAGAGTCTCAACTCTGTTGTATTGTCTTTTCGCAGTTACCTTCCTTCCTCGACTGGTTTGGTTGGTGTACTTGGGATGCCTTTTACACCGATGTCACTGCTGAGGGTGTTGACGAGGGTCTCAGAAGGTAATAGAAATTGTTGTTGAGAAGTGGAAATCTGGTTGTTGCGTCTTGTAATGTCTCATAAAATTAAATTGTTAAATTGTGGTGTGTTGCAGCCTATCAGGCGGAGGGGCACCTCCAAAATTTTTAATCATAGATGATGGTTGGCAACAGATAGAGAGCAAACCAAAGGATGCTACTGATTGTGTTGTACAAGAAGGAGCACAGTAAGACATTGCCTCTTTTTAACTCTCTGTCTCATCTCCTTTTATATTAGACTTTTGTGGATATGCTCATCTGCTGTTGTCTCTCGAAAGCTGCTTATTATTGCTATCGCCTTAGCAGCTTTCGAGCTCACTATTTTGAGCCCTTTTTATGGAATCAAAACTAAAACCACTAGGTCAATCGATTGATAGTGTCCGTCACAGAAATACTACAATTTGAATGCAGGATGAGAACTGTTATTATACAGAAGTTATTTTGAAAGCTTCTTGCTTTAATCATCTCAATAGCTTTCGATCTGCTTACTTAAGAACTGAAGTTCAAATCGTACGATCTTATTATAGGTTTGCGAGTAGGCTGTCTGGAATAAAAGAGAACCAAAAGTTTCAGAAAAATGGGAAAAACAATGTACAGGTCCCTGGCCTGAAGGTGGTTGTTGATGATGCCAAGCAACAACACAATGTGAAGTAAGTGTTCGATGCTGTGATATCTCATTTTTTCCCCATGCCATAGCTTTTTACATTGTGCCACGAACGTTAGTTTCTGATTCATGTCATCTCTAATGCAGATTTGTGTATGCTTGGCATGCTTTAGCTGGTTATTGGGGTGGAGTGAAACCAGCAGGTCCAGGCATGGAGCACTACGAGTCTGCTTTGGCATACCCGGTCCAGTCACCGGGTATGTTGGGCAACCAACCAGACATAGTTGTAGACAGTCTGGCTGTTCACGGCATTGGCCTTGTGCATCCAAAAAAAGTCTTTAATTTCTATAATGAGCTTCATTCCTACTTGGCTTCATGTGGAGTGGATGGTGTAAAGGTTGATGTGCAGAACATTATCGAGACCCTCGGTGCTGGTTATGGTGGCAGGGTTCAACTCACTCGTAGCTACCATCAGGCCCTCGAAGCTTCTATTGCTCGAAACTTTACCGACAATGGATGTATTTCCTGTATGTGCCACAACACTGATGGTCTTTACAGTGCCAAACAGACTGCGGTCGTGAGAGCTTCTGATGACTATTACCCTCACGATCCTGCCTCCCACACCATTCATATTTCCTCTGTGGCTTACAATTCTCTTTTCCTTGGAGAATTCATGCAGCCTGACTGGGATATGTTCCATGTAAGAAACGTTCTCCACCTGCATCAGTCATCACGACGCCTTTAACCTGTAATAGTTACACTGATGGGTACATCTTTGCTTTGTTTTTCAGAGTTTACATCCCACAGCTGAGTATCATGGAGCTGCTCGTGCAATCGGTGGAGGTGCAATCTATGTCAGGTAATTTTATGTCCATGGCATGTTTGTAAGCTTTGAATTTCAAGTATTAAAGTAAGAAATGGTCTAACCTTGTGTAATTTATCAGTGACAAGCCAGGCAACCACAACTTTGAGCTGTTGAGGAAGCTAGTTCTTCCCGACGGATCAGTTCTTCGTGCCCAGTTACCTGGACGACCGACGAGTGATTCTCTGTTCAACGATCCAGCTCGAGATGGAACCAGGTTTGCTGCTTTTTCACTTTCTTCCTACCGTCTATCAACCTCTCATTAGAGACAACTATTGATAATCAGTTGTGTTTACCTCTCTTTTGCAGTCTACTCAAAATTTGGAATATGAACAAGTGCTCTGGTGTTGTTGGAGTATTCAATTGCCAAGGAGCTGGCTGGTGCAGGATCACAAAGAAGACTCGCGTTCACGACGAGTCTCCTGGTACCCTCACCGCCTCTGTCCGTGCAGCCGATGTCGATGCTATTTCGCAAATTGCTGGTGCCGATTGGAAGGGAGATACTATCGTTTACGCCTATCGATCAGGGGAGGTAGTTCGATTGCCAAAAGGCGCCTCGGTTCCAGTTACACTCAAAGTATTGGAATATGATCTTTTCCATATTTCCCCTCTAAAGGTGCGTAACCCTTTTCCCCTCTGCTTCTTTCTAATCAACTCATTTTGTGTCTCATCAAAGTGTTCTTGATTTTTCAGGACATCACCTCGAACATCTCTTTCGCCCCAATTGGGCTGCTCGACATGTTCAACACTGGTGGTGCTATTGAGCAAGTCGATGTCCAATTGGTCGAACCAACGCCCGAGTTCAATGGTGAAGTTGCCTCCGAGCTGACAGGTTCTCTCCCCAACGATCGACGCCCGACAGCTACAATTACTCTAAAAGCCCGGGGATGTGGAAGGTTTGGCATTTACTCATCTCAACGACCTTTGAAATGTAGTGTAGACAAGGCCAATTCTGACTTTTCCTACGATGAGGCAACAGGGTTAGTCACATTTACGCTCCCTATCCCGACAGTAGAAATGTATAGATGGAGCATTGAAATTCAGGTTTAAGCATGAACGTTGTATGCTTAATTTGCATAGATTACATGTTGCCATATCATTTAATGGCATAGAGAGAGAGAGAGAGAGAGAGAGAGAGAGAGAGAGAGAGAGAGAGAGAGAGAGAGAGAGAGAGAGAGAGAGGAGGAAATTGGTATGTCAATGTAGTGATATATTATCATCATATGTTATATATGATGTAATGATTGAAGGGTGTGATGTGTCGAGTGTATTTTCATTATTGTAATAATAATAATTATTGCTCGTTGGCCTTTTATGTTACTCTTATTTTGCAGCCAAATTGAAATCGACGATATAGTTGTTCAACTAGTATCGCAAAAAATCTGATCATAGAAATGCTTACAGTAGTTTTCAATATCGATTTGAGTTATTCTACCCTTTCTCTAAGGCACAGGACCATGGACACTACATCTAGTTAGAAGGTCAGTAATGAATAATTTATCGAGGATTTATGAAATTGGAGAATTAAGATAGACTCACTAATTGGTGGCTCTCGGATATGGAGGTGCAAGAAACTATGATAATAGAAATGGTGCAAATTATGAAATGTAAGTAAGAATACTTTTCTTTATCTCGAGGACGAGGAATTATGAAATGTAATTAAGAAAACTTTTCTTTATCTCGAGGAAGCAGAAGAGGAAAAAATGTTAGTGGAAACCAAAGTGGGTCGTCCAGATCATTTTCTCACCTTCAATGATTTTAGCCATAAAAATTATAATCATTTTCATTCGACTTCTACCATTAGTAATTTTGGCATGACGGGTCAAAAAAAAAAGAAAACTAATTATCGCAATTCAATCAACTTTTGGTTATGAATTATACTTTTTGTAACTCTTTATATATATTAAATTACTAATAGTAATCAAAATGAATCTCATAAATATTGGAAGGTTATAAATAGTACAATTGAAAATATCTAATTCCATAAAAAAAAAAAAAAAAAAAAAAATATATATATATATATATATATATATAATTCAATAATAATTGAGCAATTACCAATAACTAAATTAATTATATATATATTTGTAATAGCTATTTCCAACTCATGACCGACACTAACTGACAAATATCAAATTATTCACATGCTATTTTGTCTTTTTATTTTTATATTTCTTTAAGATTTCCCTTTCTTTTTCCAAATTTCTCTCTCCAGTTGGTGACCGAAACCACCAATCAATCTCCACGTTCCAACTCACGAAGTGGTTCCCACGCGCGCCGCCTCACGATTACAATGCCAGTGGCATTTACGTAATTTTGTGAAAAAGGCCGATCGGGCGTTCAGAAACGCGAGTACCAAATTTAATCTTCAAAAGCGCGTTGTTGATTTTTGTTGTTCGTGTCGTGTCGGTCACAGCTCCTTATAGGTTCTTGTCCATTTTTCTGAACTCTGCTACAAAGCAACCATTCATGTTCGTCCACGTCATCGTTTACATTGTCAAAAAAAATTCATGCCACGTGGCAGCACCGTTAAAAAAAATCCCTCGAACCCATTGGATTGGTGACCCGAACATGTTTCACAACTCTTTTCAATTAGGTTTAGTTGGTGATTCGAACCATCCAAATATAAGCAATTGCGAAGATACGATAATTGAGAGAGACTTAAAAAAATTAAAAGATATTTAAAAAAATTGAGTAAAAAAAATATTATATGGAAAAAAATCCAAATATCCCCTTAAAAAAAAACATTTAAATTTAGTAAAATTTATCCAAAAATAAATAAATAATAATAATTAATTTTGAAGTTCATCTTGGAGCAAAGAGTGTAAAAGTGTAAAAGCTCCAATCAAAATCAGAGATTCAGAAGGAGAGAAAATTTCAGTGGAAAAAAGTAAAAGAAGGAAAGAAAAATTCACCAAGAAGACGAAGCATGGATTGGATCCGTGTTGTCGGTGGCTTTTCCTGAAACCTCTCTGCCCCTTAAATTCCCTTCCATCTTCTTCTTCCATCGCTTTCTTCTTCACACATCTCACCATTTCACTTTGCTCTCTCACAACTCAAGATCTTAGTTTCCATGGAGTAAACGAGAGTTGTTCCTTTCACTTCTGCTTGTTTTACTTAGGATCGAGCAGGATCTTCGAGTGGACCAGCTGCCATGGAGGTCGACGCTAATTCAGGGGTAATTACATTGTATTGTTTTCTCCTCTTGTAGATTTGTTAAATCCGTTCTGTTTCCAGCGGTGTTTGTGATTTGGTTTTCGTTTCGATCTTTAGAAATCGTCGAAACAGATTGGGAGTGGTCAGGTTTGTCAGATCTGTAGCGATTCCGTCGGCACCACGGCCGATGGCGAGCCGTTTGTTGCGTGTGATGTTTGTGCATTTCCGGTTTGCCGTCCTTGTTACGAGTACGAGAGGAAAGATGGGAATCAGTCTTGTCCTCAGTGCAAGACCAAATACAAGTGGCATAAAGGTTTTGATTCGATTCTATTAACTATTTTTAGTTGGATTTGTGTAGTTCTTGAACAATATACATCGATGGTTATGAGATCGGTTTAATCTTGGCGTTTAGGAAGTCCTCCGGTTAATGGAGAAGCAGTGGAAGATGGGGATGGTAATGGAGTGACAGGGGCTCAAGAAAGGCACCATAAGTTACCTGAGCGCACTCTTAGCTGGGATACCAACTATGATAAGGAGGGATCCTTTAATCATATTCCTTTGCTTACCACTGGACGATCTGTAAGTGGATCTAGAAGCTTACTTTGTTTGATTCAATTTTGTTTGTTTTTGATGAACTTGGAGCTGAATTGGGCGGTTTTAATGGTGTTTAATAAGGTTTCTGGAGAACTATCAGCTGCATCTCCCGAGCGGCTCTCCATGGCATCTCCTGAAAGTGGGAGCAGGGGTAAGTTCATACATTCGGTGTCTCGTGTGATAGAATTAAGGGGCTAAGCGATTTTATGTTGAGATGTTTTTATGATATTTGGCAGCTAACTATAGAATCATGGATCAATCGAGAGATTCGGGATCGGCTAGGTTTGGCAATGTGGCTTGGAAAGAGAGAATTGATAGTTGGAAGGTGAAGCAGGACAAGAGTGTGCCGCCAATGAGTGTTAGTCATGCACCTTCTGAAGGTCGGGGTGGTGCAGATTTCGATGCCAGCACCGATGTCATGATCGATGATTCTTTACTGTAAGTGCTTCACTTAGTCTCTTGTGTTGAATATATTTTAGCCATTTCATAACTTATCTATTGTCAACAACTTTGTAGAACAAAATGATTTTGTGAACTAAACCAGAAAAACCATGTTTTAAACTGTCATATTGCTTTCATGAAAGTTCCTGTTTACGTTCTATGTATCTCAAAGTTTCAACATAGCGAATGGACGTTCTGAGTTCAACTAAGGTAGCAGTAATCTCTGTTAATTTGAGTGATTTTCTAAATGAACAGAAGACATGAGTATTGCTACTTGTGAAAAATTTCTTGATCAATAGCCACTAGCCAAAGTCATTGGAATTCACCTAATCAACCTTTAAATGATACGGTCGTCTTTCTTTCTAACCGCTTTTCTCATTTGTTGGCATTGCAGAAATGATGAAGCCCGCCAGCCTCTTTCGAGGAAGGTTTCTATTCCGTCCTCTAGGATTAACCCTTATAGGATGGTCATAGTTCTGCGACTTGTTATTCTTTGCATCTTCTTGCACTACCGGATTACAAATCCAGTACCGAATGCCTTTGCTCTGTGGTTAATATCAGTGATTTGTGAAATATGGTTTGCTGTATCTTGGATTTTGGATCAGTTCCCCAAATGGCTTCCAGTCAATCGCGAGACGTATCTTGATCGACTTGCTCTACGGTAGCGTTTTAGCTTTCATTATGAGCAATTTTCATCTTAGAAGTTTGTCTTACTGTAAAATTTTAATTTTGAATATTTACGGTTTGCAGATATGATCGTGAAGGAGAGCCATCCCAGTTGGCTGCTGTTGACATATTTGTCAGTACTGTCGACCCTCTGAAAGAGCCTCCGCTTGTCACAGCTAATACGGTCCTATCAATTCTCGCTGTGGACTATCCAGTCGATAAAGTTTCTTGCTATGTATCAGATGATGGAGCTGCTATGTTAACATTTGAAGCATTGTCTGAAACGTCAGAATTTGCCAGAAAATGGGTTCCTTTCTGCAAGAAATACAGCATTGAGCCACGAGCACCAGAGTGGTATTTTGCTCAGAAGATCGATTACTTAAAGGACAAGGTTCACCCATCGTTTGTGAAGGAGCGGCGAGCAATGAAGGTGATAGCTCCGCATTATTACTCATCGTTTTCTTTATAATTCCTTTATCATCTCCATATTTGACTGTGCTTTTGTATTGCAGAGAGAATATGAGGAGTTTAAAATTCGTGTCAATGGACTTGTTGCTAAGGCACAGAAAGTTCCTGATGAAGGGTGGGTCATGCAAGATGGTACACCATGGCCTGGAAATAACACTAGAGATCATCCAGGAATGATTCAGGTCTGTACATCAGGATTTTGAAATAAAACTGCTTGTCTCAATGCTCGTTGTCCTTCATTGTCGTGTTCGATTTTGTTGCCTCATTTTGCTTTCTTTATAAATTTGCAGGTTTTCTTAGGGCACAGTGGAGGACTTGATACTGAGGGTAATGAGCTTCCTCGTTTAGTTTATGTTTCTCGTGAGAAGCGTCCTGGTTTCCAACATCACAAAAAGGCTGGTGCTATGAATGCACTTGTGAGTAGATGGTCTTAGAAAATTTCTCAAGTTCTTTAGACTTTTTTACATTTCTTTGAATGATCGAATGCCTCTATGCAGGTTCGTGTTTCTGCTGTTCTTACCAATGGACCTTTCTTGTTAAATCTTGATTGTGATCACTACATAAACAACAGTAAAGCGTTACGGGAAGCTATGTGCTTTATGATGGATCCTAATCTTGGAAAATCAGTGTGCTACGTTCAGTTTCCTCAGAGGTTTGATGGGATTGATAGAAACGATCGATACGCCAATCGTAACACTGTTTTCTTTGATGTAAGATCAGTGGCATTGTAAGCTTTCCTTTCCTTGTGTCCTTTCTGGCCTCCTCTTTTTAATTTTCCGAAAATTATATGGTTTATAGATCAATCTTCGAGGCTTGGATGGCATCCAAGGTCCGGTTTATGTGGGAACGGGATGTGTCTTCAATCGAACTGCATTGTACGGCTATGAACCCCCCCTCAAGCCTAAGCACAGAAAACCCGGGGTCTTCTCCAGTTGCTTTGGGAAATCAAAAAAGAAAAGTTCTAAATCTAAAAGGAAGGATTCTGATAAA